ATATACAGATCATATACAATTATACAATGACAATATTGGATTATTTTATTACATCATGTGACATGTGTGTAGCCGTTCTAGTTCTTTATGTGTGTTAAAACACAAAACTCAAAACACTTCAAATCACGTTCATCTCGGCCTTGCTACGCCATTTGAGGAAAGGCTCCGATGTCATTGTTGCATGCTTGAGAAAGATTCGGCGGATGAACCCCAAATCAGTGATAGTTGAGGAGGCAAGGCCTGGGTTCCACAAGCAGACTAACTGGACTGTCAGACTGTCATCACTTTGTTAGTTTATCAATTTGTCTAGAAGTTGTCAAGAAATCAGGAATTATAAAGTGTTGTTGTGGGATTGAGAACTCATGGCGGGTTCAATTGACTTTCGTGTCGCAAACAACTGGTTCAGTGTACTGCAATTACATTGTTCAGTCCTAAGTCCTAACACTTGCAGTCTGTAGTAGATAGTTGATGACACGGCATGTTTTCACCAAAATTGATCTGACTTCAAACCTCAAGCTTCTTTCAGGTGGAGGGGTTGCTGAAGCCATTCGATCCACCACTCACTGGACAGTTCAGCAGCTACAAGGTTCGCGGATCAGTGTGGGAAGTGTCACCAGTCAGATTGACCATTGCCATTTCGAAAAACTCAGTTGGACACATAATCAGATCGTCAAAATAACTAACTAGTGCCAGTAGTAGGGAAACGACTGACTAGTGGCTTCCAATTACAATTGCAGCTGATGAGCAGTTGGCTGTCTCTTGATTTGCTCAAGTCTTGGAGTGACAAAGAGCTCTACAAAACCATCGCAACAAAGACCTGCATTAACTATTGAATACTAATTCTAATACTGATCCTATACCTATATTATATTATATATATTATTGCTATTACGTATTACTATTACTATTACTAATACCGATTACCGGTTACCTTCATTAGTTTGACTCAGGCTTGCTTCTGGATTTTTGATTCCACAGTCAAAAGCAAGAGGCAAAAGGAGTTTGAGTTTGCGACGTAGAATGTGAGATTTTGATGATGGTCCATCATAAACCTAAGTAGCAAAAAACAGGAAGGGAGAGGCGAGAGTCGGGAGCATGGTAACTTGCAAAGTAACAAAGACACAAACAGTCACGATGTTGTCAAGCAGCAAAGGAAAGCACAGGCACAGACTCGACTCATTTCATGTTTTGTTGCTGATGCCCATGTTGGCACACACATGCCACTTTGCGCGCGTACCGTTGCTGATACTTTTTGCAGTGCTGCTCGTGTTGATCATGCCACTGGTGGACGCATCCAGTGGATCTGAACAAGCTTCAAACACAAGTGGCACAAGCAATCATCAAGCTGCAGCCAATCCCAGTGGTAGCACCTCAAGCAACTCGAGTGTCAGAAGTGACTCAAGTGATTGTGATGGTTCACAGGTGGATGAGGCAGAGTCTCAGAACAACGATTCAGATGGAGCAGAAGCAGCACCGTCTCTCATGCAACAGTTGGAAGATCTTGAGAACCAGAAAGCAAGGTCGCAAAGACAAGCCAGGACTTTCAAGGCTCGAGCCGCATCTTTGGTGTCAAAAGCCCGAAACAGACTTGCCAGAACGGTCGGTGCACAGTTGCAAGCACCTTCACACCCTGCTGAGTCCTATAGAGCTGATGTGCAGGATGACAGTGTTCTGCATCAACCAGGACAGTATTCGCCATACCCACGCAATCGTCGGCTGCGGCTTTTGGTAAGCTATTTGAGAGCATGGGGAAGTGCGCTCATGGAGTTTTTCACTTGGGCGAACTCCAGTGGCAGGACAGTTCATCACACCATTCTTTCGACCATCATCGATGACACCAATATGAGGTTGACCTCCAGTGCTGTGGAAGATTCTGTTCCCCAATGGAAGTCCAGTCGTGTGGTGAGTGTGATGAACACTGTTCAGGCCTTTACGTTGAGCTACAGTGGTGCTGAGGCAGAGGCGCCATGCCACAAAACTTTCAGTGTCCACACACCACTTGTGACACTTCCGAAAACAGACAAGGACTCCATTTGCGCGCAGCTCGTGGATCGAATGATCACATTTGCAGGTCATGTCTCCCGAAGGTTCACATCATTGGGCATTTCTTCGAGCTTTGCAAATCAGATTCCGATCCAAGGGTTGACAATCTGTTTCGATTCTCTTGTCACAAACTTGAGTGTATTGAAGAGAGTGAGGGCTATTCTGCACAAACAGCATACAGATCGCATGGATGCTAACCAGTCTGGCCAGCAAATCCATCCGATGCTGGCAGTGACATGCCTCATCCACCAACTTGCACTTTCACGAAAATGCTTGATCACTGGATTTGACCACTACTACAGCAGTATCGTCAGACTGGGACACCTCTTCGAGGTTTCAAGCTTTAGAACACAGTTCAAACGCGCCTTGCTTGCTGTGATCTATGATTCGTACCACTACATCCCTTGCGCTTCCCTTCCAGAGGGAGCTGATGAGTGGAAGAGGCAGCGTAGGTCCATTGTTGGCATACTGGCAGATGACTCTACAAGGCAAAATAGCAAAAGAGTCCAGTTACATCTCCAATTGTCTGTGTATGACAATTGCAATCCAGACAGCGATATGCTCCAGCACTTTTGTATCGGCACATGCTGCCGGGGGAAGGACCATAAGTCCAAGGCACAGTTTGGATTAACGAGGATTGCACAGGGCTACTGCAATTTGTTTGGGATTGGATATCCAGTCCCACTAACTTACAGGTGGGTACACGCTGCACGGGCTTTGCAATTCGTGAAGGAACCTTGGTCTTGCCAGCATCATGTCTTTTGCAACTTGCACCCAAAAGAGCAGGCTCTAAGCTGCAGAATCTGCAGAATGAAAATGAGTTTAGGCTTAGGTGAAAACCAAACCTTTAGCCTTTAGCCTATAGCCTAGGAACTAGAGGTCAAAAGGTTGTAGAGGTGATGACTTGGTAGCATCCTGATTCACTGGTGCGTTCTGTTCTGTTCTGGAACTGGAGGTTCCGTATATTAACTACAGCAGACTGCCTGCGTCTTGTGTTAGTTTCAGCGAGTTGTGGCCGCAAGATCCAAGGAAGGATGTTGCCTGCACAACATCCTCCCACGAACATTGCAGTATTTGTCAAGTGGGACAGATTCAATGGCTGCAGACCGCCAAGCAGAATTGGAAAGTCTTCTGGGAGAGGCTGGAACTGAGGGTGCTGCCGAGAACTCGCTTGAAGGCAACGACGAACAAACGTGGCACCGAATTCTTCTGGAAATCGTGGATTCAAAGGGGCTATCACAGGCTGAGATAAATCGCAAGCGCAAGCTTCTGACTTTTGAAGCCTTTAAAAGCTCACAAATGATGCCACGAACTGTGGCGCTGGAGGCATTAGTGGCGCCAAATGTTCGGAAAATGTTCCTCCTGTTCAAGAGAAGCTCGACCATCGCAACGCTTCAACGGCTACCTTTGTCTGCAGAGCAAGAGCAATCCGAGCTAAGGTCAACGCGCCTTGGCTTCCTTCAGTCATCCATCACCCATCACACCGTCATCATGAATCATGAATCATCATCCATTGCTAGTTTGCCAATGTTTAGGAGCAAAAGTAGCTGGAGTCAGAGCGAGAATCAAACTATATAGAGAAAACATTATCAAATTGGATGTTGATTGATCGTTCACAGCTTTGACATTGACAGATTGACGATGGTATTGCCATTGTGCCACGAGCAGGTCCCAGTCGATCTTCTTGAGCTATGTTTCGGGACAGTTTGGGAAAGAACTCATTGATGATTACATACGGAAGCTCCGTGATTTTCCACGGCTTGGAATTCCTTCTGTTGCCACTGACTTCCTGCGGATGTCAGTGCAAACCATGGCAGACAACTGGAGGAGGTTTGTATTGCCGACACAAACATTTCCACATTGTATGTTCCACCTGCTCAATTGCGAAGAAGATGAGACCTTCATTGATGAATACAAAAGGTTGAGATCCATTCTGGAAGTTTGCCCGCAATGTGTAGACCTGGAATTCTCGACAATACTACTACAGTTTGTGAATCTGAACGCCTCTGATGAAGAAATTGTGTGTTCAGTGAAACAGCTCCGTCGATTTTTGCTTGACATTTCTATTGTGGCACCACTAAGTTCCGACTTGGTGGAATGCATGCATGGTTTTACGCAAACCTTGCTGCACAGGTTTAGAGGTTCCAAGCCATCAGAAATGGTAGCTCAAGAAAGGGTGATGTGGAAGACTATAACGAAAGGTTTCGCAACATTCCAAAAATGGCTCTGGAACAGGTATGGGGATGCATCCTCTGGGCGTCGCATGCACAGATTTGGACGAGCCAGCCGGAATCAGTACAGTCACTCAATGGCAGGTGCTGTGAGAGGTAAGGGCACCATCATCCCTGTCCCTGACACTCAATGCAACCTGCCTGCGAATGATGTTTGCAAGTCTCAGAAGCGCCCTCGCCAAGGGATGTCCATGGAGAGAGTCAAAAGGCTCTTCGAATTTGGGCAAGAGGAGTCATTACCAATGCCTCGCAAGCTTTCAGGAGCCTGGGCATGTGAGCGGAATGCGAATGTGTCAAATCTTTTTGCAAAAGGGGAAAAGCCACAAGTGGATCAGACTCTGGATTGATAGTACCCCCGCCCCTGAATCATTTTTTCAAGTACTAATTTAATATACAATATCATGACAATATCTAAACCTACATAGACTGACCAGACTAGACTATATACACATCATGTCGTTTGCGTGCGTGTTGTTCAGATTTGATTTGTTTAATTAGAATTGAAACCTCGAACTTCTACGTCTCCAAACCCTCCAGGACTCCAGTCTGTTACATAAAGTCTGTTCAAATCTGAAATTCAGACTGCAAACAAACGTTTTGAAAGAGGGTTTTGCTCCGAAGATCCAAGGGTGGAACGTGTTTCAGAGAGAGAAAATGCAGGGACTACAGCTGGAGCCTGGTTCCTGGAAAAGCAAACTGCAGTCCTGCAGGCAGGCTTGGAAACAAATGAGTGAGAGTGAGCAGGACCCTTACATGGCAAGGGCTGCAGAGGAGCAAGCTCTCAGAGAAAGTGCAGCCTTGGAACCATTTTCCGCAAAAGAGCAGGGATCTGGCAGGCCTGCATCGTCTGAAGTGGATGGAACTGCGGCAGACCTTCTTTGCAGAAACGCAAAGAAGACCATTTCCAAAAAGCGAGTGATAGCTACATACGGTCGCTACAAAGATTGCAGTGAATGGCAAGAACATGACGGAGGACTTTCGTCAGCAGATGGCGCGCTTCGATTGGACCTCATTGACTTGGTTTCCACAGATGACAAGATTCATCTAGCGTGGGCGTGGACTGAGTTTGCTCGGTCCTTGCCAGATCTTCCCCAGGAGTGGAAGGACACCAGTGCGAATGAGGATCGTATGCATCATTCAGTGTGCCATGTGGAGCGTGGGATTTGCAAATTGAATCCATTTGCAGGTTCAGCAACGAAATTGGTCCACAGCTTCGCAGACTTAGTCTCTGATGGTACCTTACTTGTTATAGTGATAATTGAAGAACAAATGAATGACAGTTAGGTTTTGGTCGTAGTTGTTTCTGATCCGTTCATGATTATGCTGCACTATACTATACTGTACTCCTTAAAGGGATTGATCAAGGACTAGCTAACTTTGATTGTTGTTGATGACCCCCCAACCAATCTAAACCGATCAAACAGTAACAATGACATTTTCAGAGTACTTATATCATATATCATCATATAACATATGTTGAAACTATACTACAGTATATCAGATCATCATCTCAGTCGCCTTTTCAGATTCATACTATTGATGAATATGTTCAATCAGTCAAACAATTGGTAAAGTGCTTGTAGCACATAGCACCCCAAAATTGAATTTTGCTCAAGTCGTTCAATTTCTTTTTTGCAGACCTTAAATACCCTTAATAACTTAAGAACTTAAGGGCCTGAAGGGTGTTTTTGCGCTGGGAGGTACGCTGCTGCCAGGCTCACTGATCCAGCTGCAAGGACCAGGTTTGGTCCACAGATTCTATTTTCTGGGAGTGCTCATAAAGAAACCTCGGATGCACATTTTGATGGATGGGTTCTTGTGTCCTGGAGCGCCTCGTGATGATGTGACAAAAGTCACCATCCTGGAGCCTTCTTCTGGCAAGCCTGTGTTTCGCACGAGCCACCAGATGTTTGCAGATGTTCTGAAGCTCAGTGACGCGGTCGAAGCAATTTCATTTGTGATCCATTCCTATTCAGTCAGCCCTTTCCAGCCCTTGGATACAGTTTCCTTGACCAAAACGAGTGACTGCTACTACTTCAAGTTCATCAAAGCACGGGTGCCAACCGTTCAAACAAGGTTGCCTTTCGGGTTGAAAAACTCCCCTAGGAAGCGAAAGCCTAGGCAGCAGGCTGCTGGACAAACTGCAGCTGGACAATCCAGGGTCAAAAGAACCAGGGTAGAAGCCAGGGCAGCAGCGCCTGCGGATGAGGGAGAGGACCTTGAGAAGGACCAGGACCAAGCGCATTTACCTTCTTCAGACTCGCACAATTCCAGTTCCAGCGATTCATCAACCAGTGAATCAATGTCTGAATCAGAGTCAGCTGCTGACAACTCCCAGTCAGGTGATGAGAGTCAAGTTGAGGAAATGGTTTTGGACCCAAAATCAAAAGAAGAAGAGCGTCAGCAGCAGCTGGTGATGAGAAGCCATCAGAAGCTCATGGAGCTACGGCATGGTCTGTTTTGCCCACGGGGTGAACCACCCGCTTCAGAAGCAGAGGCGGCAGCGCCACCTTCCAGACCGCCAAATCCTTCAAGTGGCTCACGTGGACCAACATTTTGCAATTCGGAGTTGGGCCTTGTGGATGCTGGGGTCCAAGTGTCAGGGAAATTGGCACAATGTCGACATTGCAACAGCAAAATTCCGAAGGGCAGCACACGCTTCGCCTACTCGTGGAAACGCCAGAAGTTTGCATCATGGCTCCATGTAAGTTGCACTGTGCCCCACCTGCAACAGGAGAAAGCCAGCATCCCACAAGCCTTGGCATTCCTTGCTAGAATGAAGGAGAAAGAAGACCTGTTGCCACAAGTAACGGAGGCCCTTGGGCAGGTCGAGTCAGCTTTGAAATAAGCTGAAGTGGAGTTGCTCCCCTACGGACGGCAGCAGAACGAAGTGTGATTGTGATGTAGAAAAGGTCGTGTCAGTGGAATTGTCACTTCTTGCTGCAGTCTTAATGAGTCATGCTGTCATGCCGTCATGCCATACCGCCATGGGCCATACCTTACAGACTAACTCAGACTTGACTGGACAGGTCATGTGGCATAGTCCAAAATAGTAGACAAGACTGTAGACTAACAAGATTACCCAGGGAATCTGCTCACTTGTGCCAGGCCCCACTGGATTTCTTTCTATATGGTGTCTATTTTGGAGAAGTGCTCGGCATTGCAGCGCCACCACTGCCAGTGTGACTACGTCTGCATTGCTAGGGCAACCATCTGAAGCTACCAGCCTGAAGGCTAAAACATAGGCCATGACATGCTATTCATATGCCAAGCAAGTAAGTGAGCAGTAGAGTAAGTAAGGACAAGTAGAGTCAGGGTAAGTGGTAAGTACAGTAGCACTGTGGAGTCTGTGGAGTTACTGTAATATAGTAATACAGTAATACTCTGATTTTTTTGTAGTAGTACTACAGTAGTACTAGTACGGATTTTTTTCGGAGTTCAGAGTCAATGATTGATTGAAAAGTTTTGGCAGGCCCAACAGTACACTCAATGGACTCCAGACTACGACTTGACAAAGAACTCAGAGTCAGAGTCTCAATAACATCTTCTTACTTACTGGACTTCAACAACTTGATTCCAAGTTGGTGATGTTTTAGGTAGCGATAGTGGCGGCAAATTGCATCCTTCTTCAAAATTTGTACTTCCCACGTTGTTTAGTTTTGCAGTTTTGCATTAATCTGAATTTGCTTCTTCCGAGGAGTGACAACAAGCTGCCGGAGTACATCCCGTACCATTGGAAAGTCTTGAGGCTGAAGCGCTCCAGTTGCACAAACTGGGATGAAACTTAGGTGAAGGTCAGTTCATGAAGCTCGTTTATTTCCAGTACAGACTTGGATTGTTTGCAAAATGCACACATTTTTTGTATATAAATATCTAAATATAATATAAATGATAAATGTAAATACTTATACTCTTAATACTGTGACTTTAAGTAGATGGCTAACTTAGATAACTTAACTAGCCGACCGACTATTCAAAATAAACTTCAACACCAAACAATAGAACATAAATTGTAACATACCACAACTCAAGTACTATGACTATGACTATTATGTTACAGTACTTTACGGGTATATGTTGTTATGCTACAGCTATATGGTAAGTTTTGTAACATACACACTGCAACACGAACAGTTCACAAATTGTGTAATTGTAATAGTTGTACCACGACATGAGTCATGTATCCTGTATCCTGTATCCTTGATAACAATCCAATATCACTGTATCACATCATATGATAATGTATGCCCGTGCAATGAAAAAGGAGAGATCGGGTTAAGAGGTTTAACTGAATCAAAGACCTATGCCCACAACCAATGTTTCGTGTTTACATACCTCCTACACTCCTAGACAATATCATAATCATAGCCATAGCCACAGCTTCAAACTTTGACAAACAACTAACATGCTGCAGGGGGGTGATCGAAAACAGTGCAACAGGTAAGGGCTGTGCTCTAATCATTGCTTTTGTGGCACTCGGCATTTGGTACTTGTTGTGCTTCAGGCCATGGGTGCGGTGTCATTATCTTGTTCTTCTGACTGTTTCCAACTAATTGAACTAATCAACGTGACATGAATGATTTCTAGATATTTCTGAGCCTGAGATTCTGAGGTCTAAAGATTATGGCTCTCCGAACACACGAGGACGTGTGTACATCGTGGCAGCTCGTGTGGATATTTGCACGAAGGAGAACTTCAAGAGCATGCAGACTTACATCTCGTTGATTTGCCCAAAAATCCATACAAGGGTAAGTTTGATGGACTGTGCCCTGGTTGCATGCAATTTGAGTAGCAACCAAGCAGTAGGTAGAAAAAATGCAGTTCATGATGCAGCCTCAGGCCCACCAGTTCTTTTGCAAAGAGTTTCGGTCTACAGTCGACAGCCTTAATCTAGTACATAAATTATACAATATACATAAATATATGAGATGAGTCTATAATGATGATTGTCCACCACAACAACTATTCTGTACATGTTCCAACTTTATAGAGTCAGTATTAGTATAGATTAGCGGTCTAGCAGTCTAGAACTTCCACTGCAGTCTGTACAGGATAGGGATAATTTATGATCAAGTCAAGCGTTGAGCACGAAATGAAAGGTTGACAGCTGACATGCAATGTAGATATGCTCAAGCTGCTCTGATAAAGCCCAACTTAGGTTGGAAGTACGCCAATGACGTGTTGGACACGGTTGATGTTCCAGACAAATCCAAGGCGCTTCACTGGACTGTGATGTTCATTGTGTTCTTCATATTGGGGCTCTGCAGTCTTTAAGCAGTCTAGTCTAGTCAAGTCTAGCCATACTAGGCGCTAGCCTGAGATCAGAATTTTCATGAACTGGCTGGTTTTTGTTACATGGACATGGGCTCATGTTCGTGCTCTGATTGTTTGCCTTTTCTTAGGCAGAGCCAGCCTGGAACGGTTCCGAACGGTTCAGAACGGTTCCGAACGGTTCCGTGGAACGGTTCCGGAACAGATTTCTACAGTAAATTATAGTAAATTTACAGCTACAGCAGCTACAGTCCCTGTCTAGAGCCTGTTTTCCATACTTTTCAGTTCCACAGTTTCCTGCACCGCTGCCAGGACTCTCCAAATCGGAGCAAATCAAGCACTGCAAAGAAGATTGCCAAGCTGCAGGAAGAGCTTCACATCATTGACGGTGAGGGATATTGCAGCAAAAAGCTTGGCATCTACGCCCCTTCCATCTTCAACCAGAGAGAGTTGGCAAAATTAGACATCGAAGCGGCCAGGTTGATTGTAACGTGGCTTAAGTCCCAAACAATAGCACATATTCAATGATGAAAATCGAAACCGCAGTTTGTTCTGGAAGTTTTGGCAATTGTAGTTGGTTCTCAGGCTCTTAAGGCTAGAGAAACTGCACTGGAGACTTGGACTTTGACGGATTGACTTGAGACTCAATAATTTTCAACTTCGGATTCAAAAGTAGACAGGCGGAGTAGACCAACAATGTTTATAATTACACTATCGGTTCAACATTTCATGTCGTTTCATATTCATCAAAAATCAACCACACTTTAAGTTATAAAATAAACTATATATATATAACATGATTTCATGATAATCAATTAAGATAAAAGTATA